ATGCCCTTCAGCTAGCAAGGTTAAGCCTTTATTTGAGATAATGTCCATTTTAATCCCTTATTTGAGAAAATAAAGATATTTCAAAATCTTATTTGATATAATATTCATTTCAGATTTTTATTTAAAAAAACAAAAACACTTTATATTTTTATTTAGAATTTTCTCTGTACATGTATTATTTAAACTTAACTTAGTGAATATTATTTTGTACCTTTAGTATTATTCAAAAAGGAAAGAAGAAAAGGTACGTCCTAGGCCTGCAACGAGCTGCGCCCATCTAAGTAGGAGGACTGCAGCTGGCTGTCTTGTGTCCGCAGACTTCGTACTCCACAGTAGTGATTACAGAACTGGCCTAAAGGGAGAGAGAGAGAGAGAGAGAGAGGTGTCGGTGTGGAGTCAGTGGGGCCCAACACAGGAATGTGAATCTCCGCTGATTCTCTCCGATGGTTGGGGTGTTGTGTTGGCGGTCGTGTCTCCAGGCGCCCCCACCACCACTCAGCAGTCTTTCATTGCAGAACCCTAAGAACAGCAGAACCCTTGGACCCAAAAAAAAGCAAAAGTTTTGAATCATTGCAGCGCCTGACCCGCCGCTCTCCGCCGCGCCACGGTGGCAAGGACTGCGAGCGGCGGCGGCGGCGGCGGCGGCGGCGGCGGCGATGATGACGACGACGACGACGACGACGATGTACATTATGTTCTTCGTGGTGGTGCAGATCTTTTAGCTACTCTCGCAAGCCAAAAGCAAAAGGCCTGCAGATATTCTCTTTGCTTTTATCTCGGAAAATCTCACTGACATGCGTTCTCCGAGCCCAGGTCAAATCTGCCATAATAAATAACGACAGTGATGCGAATTGGGTCTCTGCGGAAAAGAGGAAGAAATGACAGGAGCGATCCTAGATTTTCTTCTTAATGCTCACCGTTCTTCCAAAACTTATGAATAATGACTCGTAACATGACAATTTGTTTACCTAGTATTGAAGTTACTCAAAAAGAAGATTGATTCTCTTCTTTTCCATCGGCATCGCGGCTTAATATGTCACTGCCACCGTTCAAAGACCTATGATCCCAGCGTCGCCACCCCCGACAGCAATTAGAAGAAATGATCTTCATCCATCCGCCCCTGCTCTCTCTAAATCTAGATTCCAGATTTGAATGTTGCCTCGACGGTGCACACCTCCATCGAGATTTGGAGGACCTCCGTCCAGAATCTCTCGCAATGAGATCTAGCGAGGTCATGGGATTGGAGTATTGCTGACGAGATTTAACATGGCGGCGGCTATGTCCAGAGTTATGGCTGTAAAATATGGAGCGTTGGGATGATACTTAAGTGGTTGCTGTGATATTTCTTGAGGACAAAGGTGGCAAAGCGACAATAGCAACATTATGGTTGAACGGCAAGATCATGACGGCAAATGGTTGGTGATGGTGGTGCGACTATGCCTTTGATGGTGGTGGGGTGGCTCAGCCATGATATGTTTTGAAATGCAGTTATGAAATATGGGTGTCTATATATGTTCTTAATCACATAACAAGATACATTTTTAGTAGGATTAACGAAATTCTTTCAAAAGATAAAGATATGGTGAGCGAATGGCTTAAAACTTTCCTCAAAGTTCAAACTACGAATTTATATTACACTAAATCAATATATTGAAAATTGAATTATTAGATTACTGAATCTCGAAAATAGAAAATAAAGAAAAGACAAAACGTTGACAAAATGCAACTATTTAAGAAGGTTTTTTTTTTGTGGTCGAAAACTATTTAAGAAGGTTGGGCATCGAATAATGGCCTCTTTTTATTTTTTTGTCTTTTCCCCAAGTTAGCAAGAGAGAAAGAACCTTTCATTGTCCATATTCAAATTTTAGTATGTTTATGGCTCGTGAATAGAATAATTTCTTAAAAGGGTATTATGATTTCAACATTCACGCAATACATAATCAATTAAGCCTAGTCGGGTGTCCATACGATTTTTTTGGATACCAAGACTATTTAAACAAAGAAAGAGGGATGACGTCACTTAGAAGCTTTTATGAGATTTTGTTTCCTCGTGCTCATAGACTAATGTGGTTGAATTCAAGAGCAACGATCAAATAATGAAATAAGTAGATGATAACATGATATGTTTCAAACACAATGGCCATAGGTTGCCCAATTTTGATCTAACCTGGCCTCTAAATAGGCAGCAAATATGGTATCCACGCGTTATGTCAATCTCTTCATAGTTTGAAAAACTCACATCGTTGTGCTTGTCAATTATTCAACTTTTGGCCTCGATAAATAGTTATTATTAGGAAAAACGACACAGATGGTCCTCAAATTTTGGTCCAATGTGCAATGTCATTCCTGAACTTTTAATTTGTTTAATATAGTTAAGAAGCTTTGATCCAATATGCATTGTCATCTTCGAACTTTTGATTTATTCAATGTGATTATTGAACTCTTAAACATTTTCATATAATCCATGGGCTACATTGAACATTTACCCATAATTTCAGGGACCACATGAAATAAATCAAAAGTTTAAGGACAACATTACCCATCGGACCAAAGTTTATGAATAAAAGTTGCACATCGGACCAAAGTTCCGACACAACATTGCACATTGAACTTTGGGCCACATTAGTGCCAATATCCCTTCATTTAATAAGTGGCAACCTGAGTGGCCTGATTAGAGTCAAATCGGATTAGGGATGTACTTCTTCATTTGACGACTTGCCTTAAGATCAAATCAAGCAACCCCCAGCCAATTTTCCAATATACACCCAAGCAATTTCCTCAAGTATGGAACATATGGTTGACAACCAAATTCCCATAAGAACACACATCTTCTACACAAGGCAATAACTTAAAAGTATGTACCCAAAGTACATACGAAAGTATTTCCAAGCACATACAAGTTTTCCATTTGTGTGGTTACCCCTTCTAATAAGCGGCAACTCGAGTGGCTCGATTAGTCAATTGAATCGAATTAGGGGTGTACTTCCATATTTGAACAATTAAATTTCCATATGAATACACAACCTTCATAAAATGCAACAGCTTTAAGTACGTTGCCAAAGTACATACACATTCTCCATTCATGCCATTAACCATTTTGCTAATAAGCAGCAACTAGAGTGGATCAATTAGTAGATCGAATCAGATCAGGGGTGTACTTCCATATTCAAACAACCAAAGTTCCATATGGACACACATCCTCCGTTGAAGGCAACAGCTTAAACAACCTCTTATATGGACACACATCCTTCATACAAGGCAAAAATATCGAGTATGTTACCAAAGTACACACGCATTCTCCATTCGTGCCATTGCCCATTCTTCTAATAAGTGGCAACTAGAGTGGCCCAATTAGTCAATCGAATCAAATCGTGAGTGTACTTCCATATACGAACAACCAAAGTCTCGTATGGACACACATCCTCCATTGAACCGCAACAGTTTAAACAACCTCTTATATGGGCACACATCCTTCATATAAGGTAATGCAAGTACATACGCATTCTCAATTCGTGCCATTGTCCATTCTTTTACTAAGTGGCAACTAGAGTAGCCCAATTATTCCATCGAATCGGATCAGGGTGTACTTCCATATTCGAACAGCCAAAGTCCCATATGGACACACATCCTCCGTTAAAAGCAATAGCTTTAAACAATCAAGTTCTCATATGGATACACATCCTTCGTACAACGCAACCACTTTAAGTATATTGCCAAAGTACATGCACATTTTCCATTCATGCAATTGCCCATTCTTCTAATAAGCGGCAACCAGAGTGGCCCGATTAGTCAATCGAAGAGGACGGGGCTGCACTTTCACACTTGAATGAACCAAATTCTCATATGGACACAAATCCTCCATACCAGGGTCCGCTTGGTTCAACTTTTTAAATGTAACTTGAGAAAATACAAATACCTTTAGGTTAAAGCCCATTGAGGAAATGCAAGTAGCGTTTGGTAAAAAATCATTTGTAAAGCTATTTTTGGCCAAGTAGTGTTTGGCAAATTTTTTTTTGCAAAAGGACTTTGGAAATTATTATTTTTATTTTAAAAAAAACCTATCCTACCCTTCGTTGGAGTCGGCGAGCTAGATCTGGCACCGGCGGCCGTTGCCTGAGATGGGTCGACCTCCGGCAAGCTAGATCTGCCGCCGGCGGCCGTTGCCCGGGGCTAGGCAACCCTCGGTGAGGGTTGCGCGATCCAGGCAGCTGCCTGGGTCGCTCGACGTAGGTGGCCGTTGCCTGAGGTCGAGCGACCTAGTCGACGGCCGACTCGGTCGAGCGACCCAAGTAATGGTCGCCTGAGGTCACGCGACCCAGGTGACGGTTGCTTGTGGGTTGCGTGACCCAGGCCGGCGGCGCCTGGGCGGTCGCGCGACCTCAGGCGGCCGTCGCCTGGGCGGTCGCGCGACCTCAGGCGGCCATCGCCGGAGTCGTTCAACCTCGCCGGCCTCTCGCCGGCCCGATCCGGTGTCGGCCGCCTTACGAAAAAAGATGAACAGTAACAAGAGGGGCAAAATCAGAATAAGCCAAAATAAGTGAGGGTAGTCTGGGAACAAAAAATTTGGGTTCAGCATTTGTGGAATGCCGAAAGCCTAAAGCTGGTCCGGACTAGTTTTGGATTTTCGGCATTCCAAATGCTAGCATTTGACTAATGCTAAGTCGAATGCTGAATCAAATGATTCAGCATTTGGGAAGGGGCTTTCGACCTCGAAAGTCTCTTTTCAAAGCTGAATCAAACGGTCCTAACTATGTTGCCAAAGTACACACGAGAGCGTTTCTCCACCGGACCAAACACCAAAAGTGAATGGGTGTCACATTTGCAAGTTTAATTAGAGGGCATAAGTGACTGTGGGGGGCAAATTGGTCAAATCATATCCGCGCGTCTCTTACCCGTGGTTAAAGACAGAAAGAACCGGGGTTAAAAAGTCCCTGACCAACCAACCATTCCTGTATAAACCCCCCCTCTTCCCTTTCCACTCATCACCGCCTCTTCGTTTTCCCTCTCCTCCTCCTCCCTCTTCCTCTCCCTCCTCTTCCCCACCATCTTTGCAGTCTCCTCGCTTCCCCCGAGGCCCACCATGGCCATGTCAACCGACGAGCTCTTCACCGTCTTAGCACCTGAGGCCGGCCCTTCGCACGCCGTCCTCAGCCTCCAGCTCTCCATCTGCTTCGTCCTCTTCGCCGCCATTTTCGCATTCTGGCTATCGCCCGGAGGCCTCGCGTGGGCTCTCTCGAAGGTCCGCCCCACCAAGAGCAACGGCGCAGCAGCTGCCGTGTCCGTGCCGGGCCCATCCGGCATCCCCGTCCTCGGCCTCGTTTTCGCCTTCACCGGGTCCCTCACTCACCGGGTCCTCGACAAGCTTTCGAGGAGCTTGGGGGCCAAGAGGCTGATGGCGTTCTCGGTGGGGTTCACCCGCTTCATCATCTCGAGCGAACCCGAGACCGCCAAAGAGATGTTGAACAGCTCGGCCTTCGCCGACCGCCCCGTGAAGGAGTCGGCGTACGAGCTCCTGTTCCACCGGGCGATGGGGTTCGCCCCGTACGGCGAGTACTGGCGCAACCTGAGGAGGATATCGGCGACCCACCTGTTCAGCCCCAGGAGGGTCGCCGCTTTCGGTAAGTTCCGAGCCCAGATAGGGCTTCAAATGGTGGAGGAGATCAAGGGCCTGATGGAGGAGCGCGGCGAGGTCGGGGTGAAGAACGTGTTGCACTTCGGTTCGCTCAACAATGTGATGATGAGCGTGTTCGGGAAGTCCTACGACTTCGGCGCTCGCAATGGCGGCCGTGGAAGCGACGGGGTTGAGCTCGAGTGCCTGGTGAGCGAAGGGTACGACCTGCTCGGCGTGTTCAACTGGGGCGATCACTTCCCTCTCCTGCGCTCCCTGGATTTGCAGGGCGTGAGGAGGAGGTGCCGCAAGCTTTGCGAGAAAGTGAACGTCTTCGTTGGTGGGATCATCGAGGATCACAGGATGAAGAGGAGGCTGAAAGGCGAGAGGAACGAGGAGGACGAGAGCTCTGGAGCTTTCGTCGACGTCTTGCTTGACTTAGAGAAGGAGAACCGTCTCAGCGACTCCGACATGATTGCTGTTCTTTGGGCAAGTCCTCTTTTGTCTGCTTTCCAAGTTTTGCTTATAATATACACGGTCTGCTTTGCCCCATTTTTCTACGAGAAAAACCATATGTTTCAGAACAGTGAGTTTTTCATGGGCTCGAGTCATATCTGATTCGTGCTCAAGTAAACATGCCATTGAAAACTCTGTGGTTGGGATGTTTTGGCGTTAGATGCGTTTCCTAGGTTTTTTTTTAACCTTTCATGCGAATGCTTTCTACTGGTGAGCCTCTTTTGTTGCTTTGGATTCATTGTGGATGGATGCTCCGAGTATATAGTGATCTTGCATGTTGCATTTTCTCTGCTTTTTGGGGACGTCCCCATATGTCGAGAATCTGAATATTTTTCCTATCACCTCCTTTTTATCTTATCTGCTGCGGCATGTTCCTTTTGCTTGTTTGTTATTTCCTGTTGGCGATCTCATACGGTGGTGCATTTGTAAGGACGGATTGGCGAGTTGGTTCTTTGTTTGATGAAAGCGTAAAGGTGAAATCTTTTTTCCCGGTCTTGTTTTGATCAGGAAATGATCTTCAGAGGCACTGACACAGTGGTCATCCTCCTGGAGTGGATTCTCGCCAGAATGGTCCTCCACCCAGACATCCAAGCCAAAGCTCAGTCCGAGATCGATGCCGCCCTCGGCTCGGCCCGGTCCGTTGAGGACTCCGACCTCCCGAAACTCCCGTACCTCCGGGCCATCGTCAAGGAAACCCTTAGGATGCACCCGCCGGGCCCGCTCCTGTCCTGGGCCAGGCTCGCCATCCATGACACCCACGTCGGCGGACACTTCATCCCGGCCGGGACCACGGCCATGGTGAACATGTGGGCCATAACCCATGATGAGGCGGTGTGGGCCGACCCGGAAGAGTTCAAGCCGGAGAGGTTTATGGAGGAGGAGGTACCGATCATGGGCTCAGACCTGAGGCTTGCTCTGTTCGGTTCCGGGAGGAGGGTCTGCCCCGGCAAGGCCATGGGGCTGGCCACGGTGGAGCTCTGGCTTGCCCAGCTGCTGCAGAACTACAAATGGGTCGGTTCGGATCGCGGGGTGGAGCTGTCCGAGTGCCTGAAGCTTTCGATGGAGATGAAACAGTCCTTGGTCTGTAAGGCCATTCCTAGGGTGCGGGTTGCTTGAGCCGTGTTGGTTGTGAGTGATGGATTGGCAGGTGGATCTCCTTCATGATTTTGCACACTCTCTATGAGGAGGTCAATAAAAGATTAGCCTAGCTTAGTTTATGTTTGGCAAAATAGAACTCTCTTTTTCTTCTTCTTCTTCTTAGATATGTATGTGGTGTCTGCTGGTGGACTGTGCAAGAAATGTCCTGGTCGGTGTAAGGAAATGTGCTTGGTGTCTAGTTTTGGATGTGTTCTTGCCTTTCAGCCCTCGAACCTCTTGTACACAAATCTTCTATATATATATATATATATAGCGTTCGAGCCCCTTCAGGTTTGTGCATGTTGCTCCATTTTCGCATGTTTCTCGATCATGTCGAGGCCTATAAAGTTCGATCGAATGACTCTTGCCATCCGGTAAGGTCTTGTCTTTTTCTAATCCTTAGCCAATGCTCAGAAGACCCGTACTCGGTTCTTGTGAAAGACGATTTAGGGGCTATACGGTGGCTGATACCATTTGTTTTAGAAGCTTGGAATATGTATATATTCTGGAAGTATCCAATATGCGCATCACTCGTTCCTTCGGACGTGATAATCGAACTTGATAACATTGGGGAAATCTTTAATAGAAGGGTTAACACCATAAAAAAGGTACATTTATGATATATTTATTCCAAACAAATTATTTGATCATAAAAAATTTCGAATTGATACATTTGTAACAAATTTACTTCTGTTAAATTAGATTAATACAACGAAAAACCACAAATTGATAGACTTTTGACAAAAAGAGGGGTAAAACTCCAAATAAGTACGCTCGTTAACTGCAATGTGTTATCCAACTTAATAATTTGACAATAAAATTTAATGAAAACTAACGGAGGGTCAATTTGTCATAAGTATACCGGTCTGGGGGTTTTGAGGGTCAAAAAAATTAGTTTGGGATAAATTTGTTATATGTGTATCAGTTTGGGGGTTTTGGCGGTAAAAATATTAGTTTTGGGAAAATTTGTCACGTGTACTAGTTTGAAGTTTTTCGTTATATTAACCCTTGTTAAAATGAGGGTCTAAACATAGATTAACATGTAATTATCAAAGAGATACGACTCACAAGGGTAAGCAATTAGAGAGAGAAAGATTGGTTTATCGGGTTCAACTAAGAGTCATGTCGGCAAAACCTAAATTTAGAGTTTAGTCTTGCGCCGTTAAATACTCCAATGGCGAAAGCCTAATGAGTCAGAATATTTCCATAAACATAGCTAGAATTCACAGAGCAAAAGATAGAATGAAAGCATAATCACTTAAGTTAATAGATTATGCATGTGTGCGCGTAAGCATGTATCAAGCACTAGGTTAAATTAGGTTGTTTAGAATTAGGGTTGGGGAATGATTGGTTGTTCTCCTTACTCATTCATTCGATACCAACATATATAATAATTTGAGCTCTCCTTTCTCTTTCAATGCCACTCGCTATTCATATATTCTCCTTTTCACTTTGAGCATCCTTATCTCTTGCAAAGCCTTCTTTGAGCGCCATTTAAAAGTGATGGGAACAAAAGACCTTGTTCCTAAACATTGATATAGCTTAATTCCAAAAAACAACACCGACTTTACTTTGAGTAACAATTTTGGCCTAAACTTTTTTTATTTCATAAAAAATCACAAACTTTCACTCAAGTCTCAAATTTGACCTGAACAATTTGAAAATTTTACATCGTGAAGGCTAAATTTGGGACTCGAGTAAAATTTGGCGCTTTTTAATGAGACCCAAAAAAGTTCGGGCCAGAGGGGCAATTGTAACTTTTAAGAGTGTCCCTTTTTTTCTAATTTTTGATTTTGTTTTGGGAATTTTCCTAGCTCCCACTTATTATATCGTCACTTGAATAGGGACTTTCGAATGATTGAGGAATAAGAACCTAGACACAAATCATTGATCATATGCCTCGTTCATATCATAACACACACACCCCTTTTTCTCTTTCTTTTGGGCTTTGGCAGATGCAAATCCTTCTCAGAGAATAATTATCTGAGGGATGCTGTGCTGTGGAAAAAAGCATTGCTCCTTTTTGGCCACCTATAGAGAGGAATGTGGGATTTGAATATACGCTAATCCTCCCATTTTTTATCATCATATATAGCCCGGTACGAAACCCTCAGGAGTAAAAAAGACGATATTAGTGCATAATTTTCGTACGATACCCACATTAGTGCTGAAACTTCTTTAATGACCATTTAAGTACTGCTACTTTTGAAAAGCGCTCACTCAAGTGGGTCTGGTGAGTTAATTTGTTGGAAAATCTGACATGGCTCATTGGAGTCACTTAGATGGACGTCCCTAAAAAAAAGTTGTGGTATGAAAGTGATAGACCATAAAGTTTTTCGGCACTAAGTTTATCATATGCTAGAGTTTTGCTCTAAAATTTTTAAGTTAGAAATTTGACGAAACGGTCAGAACTCAGCCACTATTTTTCTTTGTTTTTGTTCAACTCAAAAGAAAAATCATGGAGCAAACGTTGCGATCCAAATAATTTCATTTAAAATCACAAAGATGCACTTGTTTTCCTATAAAAAAAGGAAAGTAGTAATATTTTCCTCGTCTCTCGTAATTTCGCATTTGTTTTTTCTCTGACCTTGCTTCGTTTTGAGAGTAAATGACAAAGTTTGGAGCCTTATGGAAATGGAGTGCTTCTCTTAGATCAGCTGCGAGGACCAATGTTCGAGAACGCTTGGGAACCAATTTAATCCAATTCGTCATTTTGTGAAAAATCGATCTAACAACGTTGATCGGTACATAATTTACGCACCACGCAACTTTAAATGTTTCGTGTCAAAATTTTAAGAACGATCACTTCAGTGCTAAAATTTTACGACCGAAAGCAAAGTTGAATCACGATAGGGTCTGACGTGCTGCTCTTGACCATGGAGGCGAACAACGGTGGTGGTGGCGATGACGAGGTCGACCACGATGTACATTAGGTTCGTGCCTCGGCTCCTCTCTCTCTCTAGTCCCACCTCCCTGATATTCTCTTTGCTTTATCTCGGGAAATCTCAGTGACATGCTTTCTCCAAGGCCCTGGTCAAACCTCCCATAATAAATAACGACAGTGTTGCAAATTGGGTCTTCCCAGAAAAGAGGTAGAAATGACAGGAGCGATCCCAGATTTTCTTCTTAAGATTCACTGTTCTTCCAAAACTTTTCCAATGACTAGCGAGATTTAGCGTGGACCTCCGTCCAGAATCTCTAGCAGTGAGATCAAATGAGGTCGCGGGATCGGGGTATTACTAGCGAGATTTAGCGGCAGCTATGTCCAGAGTTATGGCTGTAAAATTTGGCGCTCTGTGATGATACTTAAGTGGTAGCCACGATATTTGTCGAGGAAGAAGGTGGCAGAGCGACAATAGCGACTAGATGGTTGAACGGCGAGATCATGACAGCAAATGGTTGGCGATGGTGGTGTGGCTATTACGGGTGATCGGGTTCTGATCCGGTTTGGCCCACTTAGGAACTGGAAACCGGCTCAGAACAACCGGTTCCCAAGTTTTGGAACCGGGATCGGACCGACTGGTTGGGTCCGGTTCTTGGGCAGTCTAATGGAACCGGTTGATTTACAAATAATTCTCAGGGAATGTAGCCATCACTCGCCTCTTTGCTTCCAGTTCCCCGCTCGCTCGCTTTGCTCAGTTTGCTCCTCTTCGCTCAGTTTTACTCGCCCTCTTCAGTTCGCTCGAGCGAGGACCAGTTGCTCACAACTCCTCGGAATCCAGTTGCCGGACTCTCTCTAAACTGGTCGTGCCGCCTCTCGCTGAGTGGGAGTGGCTCTGCTTTGAAGAAAGGCCATCACAGAGAAGGGACAATGTTGCCGCAGACGATGAAGAAGGCCGTCGCCGGCAACCCGAAGAAGATGGCTAACCTGATCGACCTTTGAAGAAAGGCCATCACAGAGAATGGACAATCCTAACAAGAATGTGGTGAACTGTGATGAGAAGTCGAAAAGGATATTGTTAGGCAAGCGACAAGTTGAACTCGCTGAGCTTCCGGCCTTCATAAAAAATGCACTTTCCAAAAGAGTTCAAATGAATTCACGAGGAGAAAGGAGAGTGGGACACGTGAGAAGGGAGGGCAAAGAAATTTGCGTGAAAAAATTAAAAAAATCATTGGTTCGGTTCTGTCGGAACTGGAGATCGGATCGAAAATCACCGGTTTCAATTTTATGAAATCGGGAACCGGACCGAAGCTGCTGGGAACTGCCCAGAAGTGACCGATCCGAACGGTTCCTGATTCGGTCTGTCTTTATTGCTCACCCTAGCGGCTATGGCTTTGATGGTGGCAGGGTGGCGCAACCATGATATGTTTTCAAATGCAGTTACGAAAGATGGGTGTCTATATGTCCCTGATCACATGTGCAAATTTTGTTATACTCAGTCATAGATAAATAACAGTATAGAAGATGTTTAGCTTTGGCATTATGTGCTAATCTTCTTCGTGCTTCATCTATGTTTTGTGCTGCAGGAGCATTAGCAGCAGCATTTTCTGCTGTAGCTTCTTAACTAGCTCTCTGAATAGTAGCAGGGGTAGGAACTTCCAAGCCATGTTGGATCAGATCCCATATTTCAAGATCAGTTGCCTTAAGATCGGCTTGCATTATGTTCTTGTAGTAGCTGTAATTGCTTCCATCAAAGTAAGGCGGCTTGTTAGGAGCAAGAGCATCACTAGTGATAAAACCACCAAAGTTAGCCGTAAGAGATGATCTTTATACTTAGAAGAAATACACTTCACAAGACGAGCAGCAAAGCTCTTATACTAATTGTTGGGACTAATTATGCAACCTAAAGGGGGGTGAATAGGTTTGCTTTGGAAGATTTTAAAACTTTTGTGGAAAACAACATGTAACAAAGAGATACCACAATACACCAACTGTATGAGAGGCAAGGTATCACTTGTATGCTAGAGATGATAAACGGAAGAATAAGCAATTGCACACAAGGATATATAGTGGTTCGGCTTTGATTCCAAGCCTACGTCTACTCTCACCACTAACAGCCACAAGTTGGGCTGGATTACACTAGTATTTTGCTGATCAAGTTACACTCAGCATGCACCACTCCTATCAGTTTGTAGATCACACT